AAGTGTTTAATTTAAAAGTAACACAAAATCTTTTTGATTTAAACACTTTTGTTTTAAATTCAGTTTAATATATCTCCAAAACGTTGTGAATTCAGGAAATTAATTTCATTTCTTCAAAATGCCAAGGAATCAGAATTAAAGTGAGAGGTTTCGTTAGGTGAGGTTTTGAAGTTCCAGAGAGTTTGTGATTTGAAGAACACAATTTTGGGTCTGAATCGGAGTTTCGGCCCAAATCGGTCATTTGGCCGGAATGGGACTTATAACCTAAATCGCGAGGTTTTGAAGTTCCATGGAGTGAATTGAAGAATTCAAAGTTATTTCTTCAAAATTATCATTGCTGTTTTCTAACCTGGACCAGAGGTTCCTTTAGCTTTGTTCCGGGGGTTCAATTACCCCACCCCCAACGAGATAGCGTAAAAGTTCGCTAGTTATCAATATATTTGAGTACCGGTTGAATAAGTGTAATTCAAAAGGTTAGCAAAGATGGATAAAAGTGCCTGCAATAATACATAGTGTCTAAAGTACGTTTTTTCCATGACAAGGATTTTTTTAACTACGTTTGCTCCACAGCAATGTTTATTGTTTTTTTAAAGCAATTATTAGAATTGTAATAAAACCTAAACATATGATGAAAGTGAATTCATACATTTTTTGTTCTTGAGAATTTACAAAAAAAAACAATATTAGACACTATTTATTTATTTGATTGTTTATACACGAGAATAATTTTATATTTACAACATTATAAAATCTAATACAATTAGAACTAACGCAATATTTATCATTTACCAAAGAAATAAATGTGAAAATATTTTTTTATTCATAAATTCTATAAATTATTAGAATATACGAACAAACTATAAGGAAATCCTTATTACTTACCAAGAATAAAGTTTGGCAATTAGCCAAGGATTTGTTAACTATTCCAATAAATAATATAATGAATTTTGTCAAGAAACAATATAATAAAAAAAATAGTGTTTATTATTTTTGTTGTCAATTCTCAAGAACAAAAAATATATAAATTCACTTTCATCATATGTTTAAGTTTTATTACAATTATAATAATCGCTTTTTAAAACAATAAACCTTGCCAAAGAGTAAAGGTAGTTAAAAACCGGTGTCATGGGAAAAATCGTCCTTTCGACAATACGCATTATTGCGGTTATGTAAGTCCATGTTTACCAAAATTAATCTATTGGGAAGTTGTGATGGTATCCTCTTGAAAGGAAATAACATGAAAATCCATATTATTTACCATTTCATAAAGTTTGAATCAATTGGAAATTAGCCGCTGTCTTGTCAACTGTTGTAATAAATAATATAATAAATAAATAGTATAAATAAAACTCTAATAAATAAATAATGTTTATTTTTGTTGTCAATTGTCAAGAACAAAGAAAATGTATAAATTCACTTTCATATATTTAGGTTTTATTCTTATTCTAACCATTGCTTTTTGAAACGATAAACATTGCCGAAGAGAGTGAAGGTAGTTAAAATAAAAGCGGTGTCATTGGGAAAAATCGTCCTTTTGACACTATGTCTTATTGCAGGCACTTTTATCCATGATTACCAAAGGTCTTTTACCTTTTCTTAGATTAAGATTCGTAAGTCAACGTTTAATCATACCTATTTGTTAGCCTTATTTACGATCTCAGAAATGATCTTATAGTGTGAAAGTCGAACACCCAAGTCTCTTTACTGTTTTACTTGATCATATTGCAGCTTGCCTCTGACCTTCATATGCGTATTGCAGCTTGCCCCTGACCTTCAATACAGCATACTTTCCAGCATTGAGTTTATGCTAGATAACTTTTGCAAACCATCGCGTTGCGTCCCAATATTTCCTTGGAGAGCTTCAATTCAACACAGTCTAACAATATTGGAAATTACCAGTGAGGATCAAACACACTAATCAATCATTTACGATAATCGCTAACGTCCAGTTATTTAGTTAGTTTTACACAAAGACGAAGGTGGGTACGATTTTTATCAATGAAATGCAATTTGCTGATAACGCAGCCCTGGTCACACACACATACACACACACGCATACACAAAAACATACACACACACATACACCGAACATGGTCTCTATCAATTGATTCATTCATTTATTCAGTCAGCGCCTTTTTTGCGCCGGTGTAGTCTCCACATCCCACCATCTCAAAATTGTGGCTCATAGTAACATTCAAGGTAGAATAATGTAATGGCTTGCTGGTTTCTTTTGCATCGCGGGTGTTGAGGTTAACCCTTCCTCCCTCTCAGAGGTGGATCTGTTTTTTTTTTTGTTTTTTTTTATTACCTTCTTGTAACCTTTGCCTAAAGAGGTAGGACCTACAACGCAGCAGGTGGTTTTGAATTCAGAGTTTCATTCTCCTAGACTGGTTGCCAGCCGTTGCTATAGAACTCAATCTGTACTCTCTTTTTTTTACCTATATCTTGGGGGGGGAAGAAATGGATTCATTCCTTTCTCAATGGCATTAGCACATGAGTGAATGTAATGAATTCGAATTCGGATGGCCTCGTTTGCTCACAGAAATTTTTTTTTTAAATAATTGTTAGAAAGTGTGCTTGCAAACAAATAACCAGCCAGGCAGCCACACACACAAACAGACACACGCATATATATATATATATATATATATATATATATATATATATATATATATATATATATATATATGACAATAACAAAGATTTTGTTTCGAAAAATTATTATGATTATGTCTGCATGATAACGTTTTTAAGGCAAGAAGTTTTTTTTTTTAATTAGAGTGCATATTTTTCACAGATAGACCATGAACCATTCATTTATTCAGCTAGCAAATTTTGCGCAACTGTGGTCACAACTTCCCTCCATCTCACAGTTGTGGTTCATGGTGACATTCAAGGCAGAATATTGCAATAGCATGCCAGTTCCTTTTACTCTTTTTTTTTTTGCCGAGCCCACGGGCTCGGTTTTAACCCTGCATTAAAAACGACCTTATGCCACTCGGGGAGGTAAGGTAAATAATCTTTTACACCGGGGATACTGAGGTTACCCCGTTTCTCCTCTCAGTTTTTTTTTAAGAGGCTGGACCTATACCACAGAAAATATTTGAATTCAGAGTTTTCCTTCTCCTAGACTGGTTGCTAACCAAGGCTATATGGCTCATTCTTTTCTGATATTTTCCCATAACTGTGGGGAAAAACTGAATGCAATGAACTTGACTGGAATTTGAACACGGCTCTCCAATTCCTCAGTCCGGGGTGCTATCTATTACTCCACTGTATCGCCAACAATTGATTAGCCACTTCAAACATGGCTGTAAGTAATTTGGATTTACTGTTAACATCAAATAAACAAATGTCATTGGTCAGGAGTTCCTGTATTTCCATCAATCGGCATCGACGACCAGGTACCTGAAACCACAAATCGCTTCATATATCTGGGGTCTGCTTTCACTAACAACTTATCTCTTGACCTAGAAATTGAAAACTGGAGAAGTGCTCGCCAAATTGAGCAAGAGAATATGGGACAACAGTCAGTTGACCTTTCACTCCAAACTAAAAGTATTCCAGGCATGTATCTTAGTACCCTGCATTACGGATGCAAAACTTAGACGACATATGCCAGACAGGAGAACCGCCTTGAAAGCCTCCATCTCTGCTGCCTACGATCTATCCTCGATATCACATAGCGAGAAAAGGTTACCAACATTGCTGCAAGCAGACTCCTGGAATATGCATCTCTTTCTCTGTTAATGTTGATGAGTGGGTCACGTACATCGATTGAATGACGACCGTATGCCAAATGCCATCATGTTCGGTGAGCGGACCACGGGACACGGTACGGTTGGCCGCCTTGCGCTACGTTTCAAGGAAGTCTACAAGAGGGGCCTGAAATTTACAGGCATCGACTCTGGTAGCTGAGAACCTCAGCGGCTGGTACCATGCTGTTCAAGGAGGAGTCATGAATGGTGAGAAAAAGCGAAACGAACAAGTTGGAGATCAGAAGAAAACACAGAAACCAGAGAGAAGAAAGCAATCTCAGAATTTCGTTCCACGTTCCAGCTTCGTCTGCCACACCTGCAGAAGCGACTGGCATACAAAGATTGTACTACTAATAAAAAACAGAAAGATTGAAGTTTGACGCTACCATTATCTTGCAAATATAAACAGATGTCTACTGTTTACTGAAATAGGACACGAAATCAGTCCTTTTAGTGAAAATCTAATACATTCTACTGCTTGTAAATCTTTAAATATGAATGACAATACATTAAAATTACATTACATTACACCGCTCTTCAGTCTTAATAGTGAGTCTGGTCGGTTCTATAAAGTCATATTCGTAGCTGATCTGAATTGAAGACAAAGGGATTGGGATTACTAGCGAAAAGACAAAACTTACTAAGAGTTACAAAGGATAGGAAGTTGTGGCGAGCAGTTTACGCCCACGTGTTAAAGGAATACGGAACATAGAAGAAGTGGGTTCTCATTGTCTTTTCAATGAATTGAAGAAAAATATGAATATCATTATAAAAGAAAGAAAGACAGAAAGAAAGAAAGAAGTGTGACCATAAAAGAAAAACAAAAGAAATGGCGGTATAAAAGAAAGAAAGAAAGAAAGAAAGAAAGAAAGAAAGAAAGAAAGAAATTTATCCATAAAAGAAAGACAAAAGAAATGTAGTTATAAAAGAAAGAAAGAAATATAGCCATAAAAGAAAGACAAAAGAAATGTAGTTATAAAAGAAAGAAAGAAAGAAATATAGCCATAAAAGAAAGACAAAAGAAATGTAGTTATAAAAGAAAGAAAGAAAGAAATATAGCCATAAAAGAAAAGAAAAGAAAGAAAAGAAAAGAAAAGAAATTTATCCATAAAAGAAAGACAAAAGAAAAGTTATAAAAAAAAAAGAAAGAAATATAGCCATAAAAGAAAGACAAAAGAAATGTAGTTATAAAAGAAAGAAAGAAAGAAATATAGCCATAAAAGAAAGACAAAAGAAATGTAGTTATAAAAGAAAGAAAGAAAGAAAGAAAGAAATATAGCCATAAAAGAAAGACAAAAGAAATGTAGTTATAAAAGAAAGAAAGAAAGAAAGAAAGAAATATAGCCATAAAAGAAAGACAAAAGAAATGTAGTTATAAAAGAAAGAAAGAAAAAAATATAGCCATAAAAGAAAGACAAAAGAAATGTAGTTATAAAAAGAAAGAAAGAAAGAAAGAAAAGAAATATAGCCATAAAAAAAAAGACAAAAGAAAAAGTTATAAAAGAAAGAAAAAAAAGAAATATATCCATAAAAGAAAGAAAGAAAGAAAGAAAGAAAGAAAGAAAGAAAGAAATGTAGCTTTAAAAGAATGAAAGAAATATTGCCATAAAGATAAACAAAAGAAATACGGTTATGAAATTAAAAAAAGAAAGAAAGAATGAATGAATAAATGAAACTTTTGTTATAAAAGAAAGAAAGCATTTGGAGAAAATAAATAAATAAATGGATAAATAAATAATAGAAGAATGAAAAAAGAAACGTTTAGAAGGAAAGGAACACTGGAAAGAAAGAACTTAAATATGGTTATAAAATGAAGAAAGAATGAAATGGAGTTATAAAAAAGAAAGAATGAATGAATAAATGAATGACAAAAAGTATAGAAGAAACATCGCTATAAAAGAAAGGAAAGCAGAAAGAAAGAAAGAAACATACAAAAAAAAACAAATACGATTATAAAAAGAAAGGATGGAAGAAAAAAGGAAATTAAAAGAGAAAAAAGAAATATGCTTATAAGAGAATAATATAATCTCTTTAAGAGATAAAAGAAAGAAAGAAATATCATAAAGGAAAGAAAAATACAGTTATAAAAGAAAGAAAGAAAGAAAGAAAGAAAGGAAAGAAGATCGAAGGTATAAAGAACAGTGAAGTAAAAATATGGTTATAAAAAAATCGTCACAGAATAAAGAAAGAAGGAAAGTTAAAAATGAAGCCTAGCCTAACTGATTAATTTGTTTTTTACGGCCTATCAACCTTTTCAAGTTATTTAAAGCCAAAAAATATTTACAGATTGTAAGAATTTGTTCTAGAAATAATAATAGTTTAGTGATATAAGTCGTTTATGTAACTTAAAGTCATTTCTTGTTCAACTAATAAGTCGATAAATAAATGATACATAAGTAAAATAAACAAATACTCCAATATGTTGTCACTTTCACCGGTTGTCAAAAATAAAGCTACTTTCAGAAGCAGACGTACTAAATTACTGCTTCCATTCAATGGTGTCAGGCGGAGTTTCACAGTTTCATTTGGTTCGGGAAGGTGGACTGCATAATCAATGGCAGTTTTTTACACTGTTTTATCTGGCCCACGTTATCGTATTTTTAATTTTTTAAACATTTTTTTTTTTTTTGCTGGGGCAACAGTGTGTTTTGTTATTGGGTTCATGTTTTTGATTTTTTGGTTTTTCAATATACAATTGTTTCCCTGCATAAATAGCGTGACCATCAATCAAAGACAAATAGCAAGAAAGTAATTAAAAAAAACGATTAGTTTGCTGTTTGCAAGCAATATCACTTTGTGGTGTGGGTCAAGTATTGCTGAGACCAACTCACTGTCCATCACTACTTACCCGCCTCTAAAGCTTTCTTCCGTTTTCTTGCAACAGTTAAAAATTTCAGTTTTCTTTCTTCCATAATCTTCCTTTTTCTCATCTTCTCTTTCCTTTTCAACTTCCAACTTATTTTCTTGTCACTTTCTTTAAACTTTCATATTATTTTCGTCCATTTTCTTCTGTTTTTATCCTCTTTTTTTTTTCTTACTTTCTCGTTGTTGTTTTTGCTTGTTTTGTTCGTTTTTTTTTTTCGTCGTCTAAAAAATTCTTCTACGTCTTTTCTGTCAAGGTTTGTTTTTTTTTTATCTTGTTGATTTTTTATCATTAATGTCAGTTTTTATTTATTTCTTATGTCGATCTTGTTTTTCTTTCTTTATTCGTTTTTTTTTTCATGACATTAGATATTTTTTCATTTTCAACGAGTACCATTCCTTCTTTTATATGTATCTCTAGAAGAAAATTCTCTCGTTCCTCTCTTTTCTTCTTCTTCTTCAAAAAGAATTGCTGAAACATTAAGCATAGTGTTATTTTACTTATTAAATAAATTAAAATAAAGAAAGATAAATGAAGTTAGGATAGCATTTTTTTACAGTGAGTAAAAAGTACAAGTTCCAGAAGCAACTCGAGGTAGAGGTTTAAAGAGACGCAGTTTATGGGGATACGTGGGGAACGTAACGTTTAACCCTAGACTTGAACAAGTTAAGATTGTAGTTATCGGGAAAGTATCCACTTGGGAGTCTGTTACACAGAACACTGGTTCGTAGGAAAAAGCTACTCGTGTGGAACTGACATCTCACAAATGGAATACGGAGGGGATGATTATGGTTCACTAGAATATGGTCCTAGCCGTAAAGTTTAGAACTGGTGGAATTAAGAAATGTAGTTCATCTGAACACTTTCCATGGAATTAGCTGTAGAACAGTAAGAGGTTTGCGACGTTACCTCTGTGAGAAAGGAGTTGTAGGATGGAAAATAATTCATCAGCCACAAGGACGTGGAGATGTTTTTGGACTATCGAGCCTGAAAAGTGAAGACTGGGCAGCTCCTGTCCAGATATGGCAGCAGTCCTCCATTTTCGGCCTGATCTGGTTCTTGTAGGCGTAGAGGATAGCACGAGGAGCGGTGAAGGGAAGCGACCATTTGTCCTACATTTCTAGCGATGGATCGTATGTACAAGTTCCACTTGATGTCTGGGTTGAGTTCAAGGCCCAATAGATGCTCAAGACACGAGGTCTCCCCCAGGGAACATCCATTTATCATGACTGGTGATAGTTCACGGTCCGATCGGCGACGAAAGAATGTAACTAGAGACGAGGCCAGAGATTAAACTCTTTGGGTCATGTTATTTTTTGGATCAATCAACCAACGCTTTTCTCCACCGGGCCATGTAAATAGTTATCATTTCTTACCAGAGCTCATATTGCAATTGTTTTTCTTACCTCGTTTGTTATTAATGTTTTTCTCTGGCTTTCTGGTCCCCATATTGTATTCATAAACAATAAATACAGAGAGTTGTGAGTTAAATCCATGGCTTTAGCGGAGAGAACAAAAAAACCATGGAGTGTTATCGAGGTGAATTATGTAAAACTGAGATATCCAAAGGTATGGTACGTAAAATTATAACAATTTACCCCCCGTAGACTAAATAAAGGCTTCTGTTCGAAATTCCAAAAAAATATCAACTGAACGGCCGAAACGTTGTGAATATGACAGTAAAGATGGGGACAACAGTCCAAATTATGTAAATAGTTACAAAAATTCATCTCAGAAATATAAACAGATCCTGAAGAAGGACAGAGTGAAAAAAAGTAAAGAAATACAATCATAAAAAAGCGACGAAGCTTAAAAACCATCGATCGACCGATAAATGATAAAAAAGAAAGTAGCTCAAGAGACCCTCCCCCGCCGCCCAAAAATGAATGCATTCTGATTCTGTCTGTTTGTCGCCTTGATTTACACACGTCCCTGATTCATTAAACGAAAACCTATAAAAGTAATAATAATATGTCTTATATGATGCGATATCTACAAAATGTTAAATTGTAATCATGCCAACGACTTTATTAGGTTAAAGTTATGCAAGACAGAATTAATTATTCTATATATATATATATATATATATATATATATATATATATATATATATATATATATATATATAAAGGTGTCCATAAAGTTCGTGTGCACTTTAAAAAATTATAACTTTATTTGTATTTGCAATAGAAATAATTTGTAAAAAGAATTAGAAAGAAGTAAATCTATAAATCTATATATTTTTACGGTTATATTGAAATTTTATTTAAGTTTCCACATGTCCTCCATCATTAGCAATACAAATGGTGATACGATTTTGCAGTTCACGGAAAACATTTGCCAACTGATTTACAGTAATGCCTGAAATCACATTAGTTATTTTAGCTATACTTAAAACTAGGTACATTAAACTTTATAACATTTTTTACAGATTATTACTATCGCAAATACAAATAAAGTTATATATTTTTAAAATGCACACGAACTTTATGGACACATATATATATATATATATATATATATATATATATATATATATATATATATATATATATATATACGTTTACGATTTGGTATGCGAGTTAAATTTCGCTGGATTACCACCTCGTTGGCCACAAAGTATCTTAAGTATCTTATCAGCTTACCTCCCTTTAACTCTCAACAGTTAAAACATTTAATCTTTGAAAATGGGTAAATGTATAGCCGAAAGCGCTCGGATAAAAATAACATCCGGACTGTTTTATATAATTTATCATCCGAAAAAAAAAAAAATTATTAGATCGCATGAGAAATTGCATAAAAACTAAATAAAAGCGCCTTATCGTATTCAATGAAATGTGCATAAAAGAAAGATTGCTGCCTAAATACACAAATATATATATATATATATATATATATATATATATATATATATATATATATATATATATAGCACATAAATAGATAAAGATCATCTGATTCGGGCGTGTCAAAATTTTCACCCTCGTATTTAAACAGTCATAGATGCTAATGGCGGATTTCTTGAGTAAATGCGTCAAGATTATTCATGGCAATTTTCTTCTAACATGAAGCTTTTCTTCTTTCTTAACTGAACAATCTTGCAAATATAAGGTCGATACAAAAGTTAATTTGCACAATGTTTTTAAAAATATTAGAATTCTCTTTGAAGTTTGTTTCAGCGTTTTATTATTTGTGCAATTAGTCAACAACATTGCGAGGCACGGTGGAGTAATGGATAGCGGCTCGGATTGAGGAATTGGAGAGCCGAGTTCGAATTCCAGTCGAATCCATTACATTCACTTACGTGCTAATACCCTTGGGAAAGGTATATATCTTCTTCATCTCCCTCCAGTTATGGGTAAATAGCAGGACAGAATGTGTTCTATAGCCTTGGATGGCAACTAGGAGAAGGAAAAACTCTGAATTCAAAACCTGCAGAGGGTTGTTTGGGGACCCTGTGGCACAGTGCACCAGGTCTCTGTATTCGGCTCTTCAAAAAGTGTGGGTGGTGCTGCACGATATCTTCACCACATTAATCAAATCTCATGTGCTATACATACGGGTTGGGAACCGCTTGTGAATTCCAAATTCCCATGAACCTCCAATATTGGAGCCGGCTCCACCCACCGCGGGTGAATGCCGTTACAAGAAAGAAGAAAGATTCACTTACGTGCTAATGCCCTTGGGAAAGGTATGAATCCTTTTCTTCTCCCCCAAAGATACATGATCGCCTAAGCGTGTATCACGTATGGCGCATAACTGACTGATATTGTTTTGCTCTCAGAAGCAAACTGTATAAATGGATAGCGGCTCGGATTGAGGAATTGGAGAGCCGAGTTCGAATTCCAGTCGAATCCATTACATTCACTTACGTGCTAATACCCTTGGGAAAGGTATGAATCCTCATCCCAGCCATGTGTAATTAGCAGGACAGGCCGGCTTGTGTAGCCTTGGATGCCAACTGGTCTACCGCAGAAAGAAATGGCAACCTACTGCGGGAAAAATCTACCTCGTCATATATTTTCTTTTGTAAATAATATGGAATTTCTCTTTGTGCTTAGGTTGGCCTGAAGTATTGTTATACCAAAAACGGGGGCCATAAGAAAGCAAAGTTTGAGAAACACTGATGTAGGCGACGGTAAATATGACACAAAAATCTGCAGGAGAATTGGAACAGTGAAAGATGTATTCCAGAAACTAAACAGAATATTAAAAGTTTTGGAACTTTTCGTTCAAAACAAAGAAAAGCGTGTTGAATTGCTGTCACATCTTGATTCCTAGATGGCAGTGAATGCTAGACAATTTCCTCATAGATGAAATGAAGATTTAGGCTACTGATATATACATCTATTACTGGATGCTTTTTTTTTTACAGTAATGTGAATGGTGTACAAGGTCCAAGGTTCTTGAGGTAGAAGGTTACATAGGCAAAGATATGTAATGAAGATAACGTTTAACCCGAAATATGAACAGGTTAAGATTGTAATGATTCGGGTAGTATCTTCTTGGAAGTCGGTTCTACAATTCACCGGTTCGTGGAAAGAAACTGCTCGAGTGGCACTGTCATCTCACTAATGGAACACGAACGTAATGAGGGTCGTTCGATAAAAAGCGCGTGGCATGGAGGATCTTAGCTGTAAAGGTTAGAACTGGTGGAATTAAGGGATGTTGTTCGGTTGAACACTTTCCATGGAAATAGCGAAAAAGCATCGTGATCATGCGACGTTTCATCTGTGGGGAAGTGGTTGTAGGGTGAAAATAATTAATCACCCACAAGGACGAAGAGACGCTATTGGACCCTATCGATACTGAATAGTGAAGACTGACAGGCTCCTACCCATATCAGGCAGCGTTACTCCATTTTCGGTCTAATTTGGTTCTTTTAAAGGTAGAAGATAACAGTAGGAGTCAGATACTTACTGCAGCGGTCCAGGGAACAAACTACTTCCCCAGTATGTTTAGCGATGGATATCATGTACACGGTCCACTTGACGTCTGAGTTTAAGTTCCAATAAAGCGCTCAAGCTGCACAAGTGAGACTTACATCGCATTGAATGGGACTTACAAAGCGAATGAGAGTGGTTCTCTATAATGTGCGTGATATGTCGGGTCTTAGCCGTGAAGGTCAGACATGGTGGAAATAAGGAATGTATCTCGGCTTAACACTTTCCATGGCTTGCGATGTTTCGTCTGTGGAAAAGTGATTGCAGAGTGGAAAATAATTCATCACTCACAAGGACAAGGAGACAATTTTGGACACTATCGAGACTGGAAAGTGAAGAGTGTGTAGCTCCTGTCCATATATGGCAGTAGGACTGCATTTTCATCCTGAACTCGCTCTTGTAAAGGTAGAGCCTTAGGTGGGCCTGAAGTATTCTTATATTAAAAATGAGGGCCACAAGAAAACAAAGGTTGAGAAACACTGGCGACGGTAAATGTGACACAAAAAATAACAATATATATATATATATATATATATATATATATATATATATATATATATATATATATAATAAAAAGGCTTAAACACTAATATTCCATGGTCATAATTTATTCCATTGGAATCGTAATTACGATCTAATTCATCAGACCTACAAATTCAAAAGGAAAACAGAAAAAAAAACCAACTCCGGAAATAAAAACAGAATTTAGAGAGAGTGTAAGTATGAGGGGGAGAGAGATTAAACTATAACAGAGAGAATATTAGGGGAGGTGGGTGGAAGAGGTTTATTTAATACAATACACACACACACATATATATATACACATATAAATTATATATTATGGTCGTTCCTTGTCATAATAGAGGGCTTACTTGTCAAAATGATCCAAAGAGAAGCCCAAAGTCGAAAAGGAAGGAGGTGACTCGACTAACACCCGAAGACCCCAACGGCGGAATAGGCAAAGATCGACACGATCTCAACGGACGAACCAGTGGAAGAGGGCAGTGCTAGTCGGGCTGGCGTAACTAGGGCGGACTTTGACATATCAAGCACCCGACAGCCCAATGCCACCAGGTTTGAAGAACTCGCCCGTCTCAATCTTTTTTGAGCAGCGATCAAAATTCAAAATCAAATTCACTCGAATGGCCTCATCAAACTCTCTTTGATTCAATGCCATGTCCGCCACAATCACGAGGAGAGAGAAAGGGAATAAGGAGAGAAGATAACGATCCCTGGGCTCGGATTCGAAACAGATATATATATATATATATATATATATATATATATATATATATATATATATATATATATATATATATATATATTGTATTAAATTGTAAGAGTTCTTGGTACTAAGATTGGTGATTCTATTTTCCGTAGTTTACTGGTGAAAAAGCATTTTTAGGTAGGCAGTTGAAGAGTGAAAGCATTATTACAATGCGCTCACGAAGCTTCGAAGTCGGCATGACTGAAGGAACACCACTCAGTTAAGTAATAAGTTTCTCCACATTAATTCTATTAACGCTCTATCTTTACCTTTTAATATCGATCACTTTATGACAAGAAACTGCCTGCTTAAAAATGCCTTTCCCACCAGTAAACTACGGAAAAAGAACCAACAATTTTGGCACCCAAAACTCTTACAACTTAATACTAGATAGATAGATAGATAGATAGATAGATAGATAGATAGATATGAAGAACTATAATTTTAAGGTGTGGTACATTTTTAGGATAAAGTGCTCAATATCAGAGATAGAGCGTATGTAAATATAAATATAAAATTAAACATTGCTGACGATTGCGCCCAGCATGAAATAGCCTGTCGCCTCTAAGTGTTGACTTCAAAGTTCAATTTTATATATATATATATATATATATATATATATATATATATATATATATATATATATACCATGAACAGTATTGGGAAAATTGTATGTCAAATTTGAAAAAAAAAATTACTTGTGACGCGTTTTATCCTTCAGAACTTCAGCGGACGAAATTTGGTCCAATGAAGTCCTAAAGAATGAAATACGTCACAAGTAAGCTTTTCCCGCTTTGTCATATATATATATATATATATATATATATATATATATATATATCACAAATCCGTAGTTGGTAAGGATAATCTAAATAGGTCTTTTTAATATGAAATATTAGAAAATAAGGTAGATTCATGCAGAGAGCTCGATGTATCAAAATACAAAGTAATATGATATACATCAAAGGAAAAGCTCAATCCATCGTTAAAGAGTTCGATAATAATTTATTTCAGACAGATAACTGACTCATCAGACCGGTGTTATAAAATGTTTAAATCACCCATACAATTTATTAAAAATTACAAGAGGTAATGAATTTCTTCTTGACAATTTTAATAAATTTCATGTCTAGATGTTAATAACTCCGGTTTGATGCGGCAGTTGTCTGAAATAAATTATTACCGAACTCTTTAATAAACTATTGAGTTGTTCTTATATATATAAGTGTTGACTTCAATGTTCACTTATATATATATATGTATGTGTGTGTGTGTGTGTGTGTGTGTGTGTGTGTGTATGAAATAGGTCAAAATTTGCTTATAAAAGTTATATTAATATCCCATACGTTTTTTATATACCTTTCTACTTATATCTTAAATTCTGAACTAAAACTTATTGTTTAAAAAAAAACAAATAACTTATGTATTCAACATACCAAGAAAAAAATCTACAGCTCTTAATTTATTAATTTACAAAATACATTCATTGATTACAAAACTAGTAGCAATTATTCTAACCTAAATATACGCAATGCAGTTCTGGCTTCGCTTTAATGTTACCAAAATTATTTACAATTACTACTATAACCATCGTTTGAACTTATTCTTACTTCCTCTTTCATCATCTTACTCTCCCCTATTCTCACCTTTCCTCCCCTACCCCTTACCCTTAGGAGGCTTGGAAATGCTGTGCCAAAACCCTTGACTGTTGATATCGATTTAAATTTTTCGGGTCGAACCATCATTTTAACACCTCAATAATACTTCATCAAACTGATATCAACAGGCACTATTGTTTCACTCTGTCAACCTTTTGCATCGCCTTATTTAGTCTTATACGTCCCCTCTTAAAATGAACTTTTTTTTTTCAAACAAATGGAAAAAAAAGAAGTGATGTTCCACATGCGGCCTGCTTACAAACAGATTTGTTCATAACAAATTGTATTGTATACATTGAATAAATGCTAAAAATACTGGCATGAGTAAAATACAAATACACACACACGCACACACATATATATATAGATAGATAAATAGAAAGAAGTATGATTAAATAGAATCAATAAGGTCTATCTAGTTAATATTTAATGCATTTTTCCAATTTTCAAATAAGATGTGTATTGGGATCGAAATGCTGTATCCCAATACACAATACTTTATTTTAAAACTGGAAAAATACAATAAAAAATTACACAGGCAAATTATGAAACCTTGTATTTTAAAAGAAATTGATTAGATGAATACTTTTGTCTAAATATATTCTCTCTCTCTCTCTCTCTCTCTATATATATATATATATATATATATATATATATATATATATATATATATATGATATCGCACATAGTTCACTGGTGACAATAAAATAGTGCTCGATGAAATAAAACAGAGCTAGTAAGTATATATTAATAAATATACATTTTATCCCTCACCGGTAGCACGACTCGGAGTTTTATGCACAACACAATATTCAGCTGCTGAGTAGAGACTGGCCGTTGCATAATTTTAATTTTAATGAAAATATCTGGTTAACGCAATGCTGGTACAGGCCATATATTGTATGGGGATGTATGTGTGTGCGTGCGTATTATATGTACATATATCAATATAAGTATTATATAAACATATACATATAAACATATTCTTTTTGTAATTTCGTTCTTGATAAAATCTACACTGTTTACTCCTGTTTTGGCTATCACTCTCTTTCTCTTTCACTCTCTTTTTCTCTCTCTCTTTCTCTCTCCCTCTCTCTTTCTCTTACTCTTTTTCTCTTGCACTGTCTTTCTCTCTCACACTCTCTTCATCTCTCTCTCTCTCTTTTAGATGGACAGGGATGTAGATTAATCCAAGTTCTCGTATATGTAATTCGTAACGCATGCGCAGTCATAAACGCATATATTTTTGTAAATTATCTTGACGTTAGCTATGTAAACCATTCTTTCATCCTCGGCGTTTTATGGCGCCGGTTTCTGGCCATTGGTAACTGAAGTCTTGTGCACAGAACCCTTCCCCGAGGCAGCACCTTTCCTATAATAAGAAGGAGATACGGGCAATACTAATGTCTGCGGTATTTTTGGAAAACCTATTCTGAATGGCAGCCTTGGTGATTTCCATATCGACATTTTGTACGGATTTATTATTAAAGCCAAGAAAAATAATTAAAATTATCAAAGCAAATAATAATTACTAAAGAGGTTAATAACAATTATTGAAACTTTATAATAACTATCAAAACAGATAAGAATAATTATTAAGGTGGATAATTAAAAAATTAAAATAATTCTTCAATTAGATGAGAATAATAATTACTAAAGCTGATAAAGATAGTTATTAAAGAAGACAATAACAATTATTAAAGCAAAAAATAATAATTATTAGAGCTGGGAATATTAATTATTAAAACAGATAAGAATAAGTATTAAAGCTATGATTATTATTAAAGCCAGTTAATAACAATTGCTAAAGTAGATATAATAATTATTAAAGTAGACGATGACAATTATTAATGGTGATAAGAATAATTATTAAAGTAAATAACAATTATTAATTCCGATGAGAATAATTATTAATAGCAGATAATAACAAATTATTAACGCAAATTTCCACTGTGTCATGTGTTCTTGAGGACACATGGCATAGTGGATAAAGGCGTTAGTTAGATCCAGTGACAGGACCCAAAGAGTGTGAGTTCAATACCTGGTTAATGCAGTGGAGTACTTGGAGAGGGGAATTAACAGGAGATAACTGATAACTGACATCCATTAAACGTGGAACTAGAACAGTCTACCCTAATAAAGGAGTCCAGTCTAATAAAGGGTTAAGTTCGATATTCCAACCACTTGAAGAAGGCCGGAGCGTACAACGGCCGAAACGTTGTAATAAATATGGCGAAAAAGATGAGGACAATAGTCCAAATAATGTAAATAGTGTACAAATAAATAATTATTAATAAAATTTTTAAAGCTAAGAATTATAATTATTAACGCAGATTACATTATTATTAAAGCTAATAATTACAAATCATTCAACTGGATAATAATAATTATTAAAACAGATAATAAAACTATTAATGCTGATAAGATTAATTATCAAAGCGAATAATAACAATTAAACAATAGTAATTATTAGAGTAAATAATAACAATTATTAAAACGGATAATAGTTATTAAAGAGGAATCGGGAATATTATTGGTTCTCTTCTTGTTTTCTCGCTTGTGGAACCCCCTTTTGGTTCCAAGCTTTCCAGCCAACTTTAATCTGCAAAAATTTAAATCCAATGTCAATCGCTATCGACTGTCCTGTAGATTACTCTTCCGGCTCATTAGTAAATTTTTCTGTTCCCAATTCTTCCACACACACACCCCATGTTTTAGTGGTTTTACTGCCTTGGATGCGGGGGGGGGTACCGGTTTTAAAAAATACAATTCAGGTGGATAATAACAGTTATTAAAACAGAAAATGAAAATTATTAATTCTGATAAGAATAATTATTGAAGCATATAATACCAATTGTTGAAGCAAGTAATAGTAATTATTAGAGTAAATAGTAATATTTACTAAAGCGGATAATAATTATTATTAAAGCAGATAGGGATAACTGTTATAGCAAATAAAATAATTATTAGGGCAGATAATAATAATTTTTAAAGCGATTAACAATAATTATTAAATAAGATAATAATTATTATTATAGTAGATCATAATAATTATTAAAGCGGATAATAATAATTTTTAAAGCGACTAACAATAATTATTAAATAAGATAATTATTATCATAGTAGATCATAATAATTATTAAAGCGGATAATAATAATTTTTAAAGCGACTAACAATAATTATTAAATAAGATAATAATTATTATTATAGTAGGTCATAATAATTATTAAAGCGGATAATAAGAATTTTTAAAGCGACTAACAATAATTATTAAATAAGATAATAATTATTATTATAGTAGATCATAATAATTATTAAAGCGGATAATAAGAATTTTTAAAGCGACTAACAATAATTATTAAATAAGATAATAATTATTATTATAGTAGATCATAATAATTATTAAAGCGGATAATAAGAATTTTTAAAGCGACTAACAATAATTATTAAATAAGATAATAATTATTATTATAGTAGATCATAATAATTATTAAAGCGGATAATAATAATTTTTAAAGCGACTAACAATAATTATTAAATAAGATAATAATTATTATTATAGTAGATCATAATAATTATCAAAGCGGATAATAATAATTTTAACACGAACTGAAATCGTATAAGTGATACCTGAAGCCAGAAAGTTGGCCAAATTTCAACATTTGCTAAAATCATTATTATCCCTCCTCCTGTCTTCAGACTTATTCCATTTGATTTCAGAGTAAATCAAGTCGAACTAATGCGGGAAAGGTAGATGAAAGGAAAAGAATTGACAGGGAAAAAAAGGTTTATGGTACACTCATCATTTGTGGTGAATGCAAAATTGACGTCAAGAAAAAGATGGCGCAAATGAAAGATGTGGGAAAGAAAGAGCAATTAATGTGGGTGCCACTTATACACCTACGCTTCTACTTATGTGCTGAAACGAAACATATACTCATCAACATATCTATATACCTATATCATATACAGCTCTCCTTTTCGCTATATATCTATGTCAAGTAAACAAGCACTGGACGAAGCACCAAACCGGAAAATCCACCGACAAAGTCGGTGTTGAAATATTATTTAGAAAATAATACAGTGTAATGCTTCTTTTTCAGTCTTCAATTGTTATCGGGCTGAAAGGTGTGCCATTGACAACAAAGAGTAAAAGTGAGATCGACAATAAGGGTTGATGTCTTTTCCCCACTTAGTTATTGTAGATTTTAGAAACCCACAACAGTTCTTGCGACTATTTTAACCCATTAATATACAACATCCAATTTTGGACTGGCAACATTAATGGCTATTAATTATAAATAGTGCCGGATTTTTAATTTAATTTTTTATTACTAACTAGACAGGTATCTGTCGATTCGCTGACGACAAGATTATCAAATTTCAAATCTAAATTGCTTGACCATTCTAAATATGACATTTATTCGAAAATATATTCAGTTCAAATACAGGTGTCATAAAAATGACTTCAAATGGCCGGCTTATACTGTTTACCAGTTACCCAGGACTTGTTTCCAGGCAGAAATGGAAATTAGAACACATGACACAGGTGTCAATTTCAATTTCATTCAAATTGTGTGCGTATGAACGTGTGATTATTCGCTTGTATGTTTTAATCATTAAGATCCACCTAAGATATTTCTTTTAAAAAAATTTTAAAAAAGCTTTTAAAAATAATTCGTCCGGTTTGCAAACCTCCCCGATCTTTTGAACAGGAGCAAAAGTTTATTTTTTTGTTTCCTGTTTAGGATTGTGTTTCCGGACCCTTCTCATCTTCTTTCACTCTCAGAAGCCCCTTGCGTCTTAATGGCATTATCCCCTTGCTTGGGGTGAATTGATTAAAAAATAATTATTTATTAATGAATAATTTACGGAAAATTCAATAAAAATCTGATATTTAGGATAAAAAAAAAAGTGAATATTTTTTTCTTTTCTCCACATTTATGATTTAATTGCTCAGCCCAGGGTAGGAGTGGTCCGGATTGAAGGGAAGAAAAATATGTTATCCGGTCATCTTATTTCTTATTTCATGTCTTAGTCAACATAGGTGGTACGTTCAAAAAGTATCTGACCTTTGAGTATAAAAAATCATTTTTGTACGTTTCACAAATTTTGTTAAATCATATATAAAAGTTCACACACTTCATCACGTTTCTGCCACTGCTGGTAACACCTGTGGAACGCCTTCTCCGGGACGCTTTTCCCATAATTTCCTCTCGTGACTCAAATCGCTTCCCTATCAGCGTGGTTTTCCGACTGGGGAACCGCCAGAAGTCATACGATGATCATATCGTACTTGAGCAGGAAAGATTGGATGATGTCGGCGAAATGAGCGGGCGAATTGTCGTAGTGAAGTTACAAAATTTGTCGCCACTCACATGTCCGACCGCTTTCGGTGCACGGCATTACAAAGTGACGTTTAACCGCTAGATAGTATTTCTTATGGGTTATTTGGTCTTCTGGTGCCGTATTCACAGTTCCGCGGTAGTTAAAGAAATAGGTGGACATTACCTTCACGTCGCTGCGAACGTGTCGTCCTTTGTAAAACCTTGTCAATGACGGATGCTTCCATTAAGAAGACTGAAATTTGGTTTCCGGGTCGTAAATATAAACCAATGTGACATCACCAGTGATGATGGTCTTCACGATTGTCGTGGTTTGCACAGTCCAGAATGAGTCCTGGGAGATTTCCATGCTGGGGTATTTCTGTTTATGTGCGTGTGCGTACATTAAATGTCACTCACGCACAACACAGACATACGTATATATATATATATATATATATATATATATATATATATATATATATATATTATTTTTAAAAATATGATTCCTTCGCTACATAAGAGTTCTCATGCTTCAAAAACAAGAGCCAAAAACTTCATTATAATTATTAAAATTAAATTGAATTAAAGTGTCAAGCTCTGTTTCATCCTACAAGCGAAGGATGATACTTGAGGATGAAACAGAGCTTGATACTTTAATTCAATTTAATTTTATAATTAAATTGAAGTTTTCAGCTCTTGTTTTTTGAAACATGAGAACTCTTATGTAAAAGAAGGAATCATATTTTTAAAAATAATTATAATTTAGGCTCTACTTTTGTATTGAGCACTGTTTTTAAAAATAAAAAAAAAATATTAAGGAACTTGGATAATTTATCTAACGTGTTCTTTCCTATTTTTCTATATATTTGAATATATATATATATATATATATAT